CATTTTTGAAAGCACAAAACAGAAACAATGTTTTAGCTAGGTAACAAGACTTCTGAATTGTGACATTTTTATAGTTATAGTTCCATTCACAAGATCTATTTATCACACTCGATTCCACTGATATAGCTATTAAAGGAGAGGAAAAACCTCAGCAGTTACCATAACAAAGACACTTCCTTCATTGTTTTTTCCATTCAAGTCATACATTATACAATGAAGTTATTTTTTCCTTAGTCTACACATAGCATTTAACTCTCGCATTACCCTCTTTCTCTTTAAGACTTTGTGCATATACACAGCTTCTGCTTCTTAACTATGTCTAACAAGCTAGTTGCAATAAGGAAGCTCTATCTCAGAAGGAGGAAAAAACAGAAATGTGAGAAAATGGCCCAGAAATGATTCATTAGAGACAGAAGAAGTATAAACTGATTTTTGGTACCTGCCATTGCCAGTCAGCATGAGATACTATTTTCTTCATTTTTTAAAGTAAACAAATAATAGAACTAACACAACTTTTGCTGGAATAAAGAAATCATGGTTGTCCCTCACCCAGAAGAGCCTCATAGTGCCTTAAAAAAAATAATCCCCAACCAAATTAAACGTACTTCTCATAAGACAATATTTTATACAGGAATGCTGACAACCACAATGCAGCTATTTCTATCTACCTCTTTGTTTCCATTGAAGTAATACTTCATTCAGAAAAAGATCACACTAGATCTAGCTATTACAGTGATATCTCCAGGGTAACAGTACAGATCAGCACCTGAGTTCAATAAGAATGGAAGGAAAACCCTGGAGAATCAAGTGGGAGACAACAGATCTTGAACTCCTTAGGAGTTTATCAGTTCAAGCAGAAAAAACTACAATTATTCTTGCAAACAAAAATCCATGGGAACTAACCACCACACCCCCCACCCCAAATAAAAAAAACCAACCCAATTTTAATCCCTTTTTCCCAGGTCACAGCAGACGAGGTTGTTTTAGACAGTCAAGAGACAGGTCTGCCTGGATAGCCTAGAGATTTCTCTTTATAACTCTGTTCCTCACTCTGTTTAGATGGGGAAGAAAACAGCGATGACTCAAAGCTGTACCTTAAGAGGAAGCTGGCTATTACATTCCTCATCACCCACCACTCTAGGAGGTTGAAGACATTTTTCAAGAGACCATTTCGCCTGAGCTACATGAAATTCTATTTGAAAAAAAAATAAAAAAAAAATGCATGCAGTCTTGTGTACACCTTCCTCTAAAGTAAAGGCAGATCCTCTAGCTATCTGTCTCTAATGAATTTGCAAACAGTTGAGTAGTTTCAGCAAGGGAGAAGAGTTTCATACCAGAGGGATGTGATTTTCTTACAGAAAGAAAATTACAAGTATTTCAGCCTTTTATTTCTGGGAAAAAAAAATGAAATCCTGGCTCTGAGAAATCAAAGCTTGGCCAGTGCTCAAATTCTCTTGTAAGAAGCAAACTCAGATTCATTTAATGTTTCTGTATGAAGAATAATGTTGCGTTCAAAAGGCCTTTCTCCTGCGCCACACCAAGAACTCTGCTTCACAAATCTGAATCAGAATCCTATTAGTATCCAGAGCTTAGAGCTATGTTTTTATTAGGAAAGAAGGTACTTCCCAGCCTCGCCAAATGAGATTGTGACACAACCATTGAGTCAGATAATCAAGACTGAACACCTCTTCAGTTGCTACTTGTGCATTCTTAGAATCCTCTGAGAGTATAAACATCAAATTGTGGGAAAAGGCATTAAAACTAACAATACACACATGCTACAAGACAGAAGTTTTTGATGTTGTGATCAAGAAGTTCTCTGGAAAGACTACTGAACCGAAAGCCTGGTTCAACTGAGAAATAAAGTAGTAAAATGGGGACAGAGGGCAAGTCTCAGTACAAACGTGAACCACAGCCACTGATACTGTGTTTCCTCAGGTATGTGATTGACAGCCACATCACAGACCTTTCACAAAAATCAACAGTTAGTTTGCATACTTGCACCGTACAATTTTAGATATAATACTTTTAGGAAAAGGGATGGGTCTATCATTTACACAAAGAACGAGATGTGAAGAAACTCAAAAGGGCAGTTTTTCCAGCCATTGCCACTGAAGGAAATACTTTGAGCCCAGTGACTGGTTCACTCAATAATTGTCTGCAGACAGATTGTTTCGCCTTTGGATTAACCAAAACTGGTCACAAAGTGAAGAGACAGACATAATGCAGAAAGCAGTTTCCTCTCTCCCATCAAAATGCAACCTCAGGAGAAAGATCAGTAACTGATTTCAAGAAAAACTCTTAAGACTTACCCGAAGAAGTTCAACACAACCATTATAAACTGACCTGTTCTTGGCCTGGTACCCAGAATGTGGGTGCCATTATACCAGCACAGACAGTTTTACCTGGACTGTTAGGCAGCACAGCTCCTAAAATGAGTTAGTGTCACCTCCCAAGAACTTTGTCAGTTTACAAATTCAGATGCCAAATTTCAGTTTTCTTCCATGAGGAGCAAGAAGTGATGATGAACAGTTCCAGCCATTTTCACATTTTCTGCCCTCGGAGAGAAGCACTAGCAAGCACAGGACTTAGATGCACAAATGCAAGCTTGATAGACAGCAAGTAGAAAGAAAAATTCTCTTCCCATTCATAGCATATCCATCTACTCTGGATTCCAGTGATGACATATATTCAGAAACATGACACTGATGTAGAATAAAATGAGTCCCACAACTGATCTAAAATTTGAGAGTGCTACACTGACACTTGAAAGATAAAAAATAAACTGAAGGAAGACTTAGTATTATTTGTTTTCCTTTATAATCTAAACTGATTTGTATATTGTAGCATATATCCTTAAATCCTCTGATACGCTGCTTGAGCAGAGACCCAGGCTGCAGCAGTCTCATCTCACATATTTTGTATTATTTCTCTGACAAACCCCAGTGGTACAATTTTCCTTCAAATCTTAGTTTACTCCCAGGAAAGTCTCTCACAAAATTTTCAATGTACATCTCTCAAACCAATTCAGAACTGAATTTACTGTTTTAAGTAGTAACTTTTGCAGTAGCAATTTGACAACAGATTCTTGGCATTTGTGCAGACCTGCATTTGCTCATTTTCAAATAAGTCATTTCCTTCACCACAAGATGCATCTTGCTTCTAATTTACTGACCATACATCTTAAAGGTTCTTATTCACCAACAAACTCACTCATTCTGACTTTAAAATACAGAAATGCATGTTGCTAATTCTGGCAAAATTAATGCTATACCAAACTCAATTACTGAGAATGAAAGAATATGTCATAAACTTTTCTTTTTTCCTAGTCTTAGTCTAAATGAGCCGGGTTTTGTGCAGCTGACTTTTCTGAAGCAGAATACTTTTTCCCTGGTGCAGACAAACAGATCAAATGAAATTTTCCAGAATGACCAAACACACACCAAGACCATTCAGGTTTAGCTCCCATTACTAACAAAGCACTCCCCTCACGCCCAAGTAATTATTTAGATAAAAAATAAACATTAATCAAACGTTTTAAAAGCATTAGCAAAGACATTACTGTAGACTACATAGATGTGGAACAGACAAGGATTCGTCTTATCGAATTTCTAACTACAGTCAGTACCAGAAACTATTGGGAAAATAAAGAAATTTTTACTGGAGAGACATCCACCATGCGCCCAAGTTTCTTTCCACTTAGGTTTCCAAATCCCTTGAGAACCAGGAGCAACGCCTACCTGTAACAGAAAACAGATTCTAGTGATAAAGCCACAACAAACAATTTGCTGGACACTTCTGTTGCAGTCTAGAGGCTGCAACATGGACCTGCAGACTGTACTGATCCTGTTCAGCTTCATCAGAACCTTTAACCTCTGCTAACTTTAGCACTTAAGATTTATTTTAACAGTGAAAAAGGTGTTTCAAAGTTTACTTTGCTTTTGTTCTAGACCTGAAGCAGAGCCTGTGGGTCCAAAAGACAGCCTGTTTCCTTTTTAAATCAACTTACGGGGCTGCAGGAATTGAGAGATAATACCTCTTTTTACAAATTGTCTCACTTAGATACCTAGTGGGATTTTCAAAAGATTACAGAAAGTTATCCTGTGTATTTCAAGTAATTTGGGAAAGGTAAAAGAAAATCAGACTGAAATGAGGAAAAAAAAAAAAAAAAGATACACACACACTTCCTGCCCCAAGAGCATCAGTGAAGATTGGGTTCAATGTGAATTCAGTTTAAATTAAATGAAGACGTCTCAGTGGCTTTAGTAATGGCCTTATTCCATCCCTCCCCGCCTCCACACACACACACTCCCTCAGTAAAGCCAATTAAGTAGGAACTAAGCCTTTCTTCCTATATCACTAGGGCAATGGTGCTGCTAGTTCCAGCAAAGCTCCCAAATACTCTGCTCACAGATTGTACTGGCCAACAATTAGATCACTCCTGAGTTAAAGAAATGCCCAGAAGCAATTATGTGTAAGCACTATTTTCTTTCAAAGCACAATGGAAAGTTGGCATGTACTGCATTTACCAGAACTGTAATCTGGTTTAAACATGGGTTTATTTTTTAAAATCTTCAGCTCTCACCTATAGACTATTCCAGAACCCTGTGAGTCAGCAGATAGTTAATGTTTATTAAAAAGCTTCCTTCTTTAAGTCACCTTTACTTCCTCTCGGTACTTTGCAGAAAGTGTGAAAAGAACTACCCCATCAGCCTTTGCTATAGGCAACCGTCTACAACTGTCCAGAATCTAGTACATGAAGTATTCAGCATGCAAAATTGAATTTTGATATATAGACCTCTAATAAATCAAGTGTTTCACAGACTACAGAAAATTTAAGTAAACAGCAGCCATATAACAGACAGCTCCTTTCAGGTATTTACAATATACCACGTCACGAGTTTAGGTATGCTTTTTTCCTTTGTCCTCTTACAGATACTCATGGATTTTAAAGCATCTCAAATGATCAGATGTTTAAAGGAAATAAGACACTACACAGGTAAACAACATGGTTCTATTAAAAACTATCTTTAACCATGGCACTCAGTGACAGCAATACAATACTTTTTGTCCACAAAGCGACTAATATAAAAATATGCCATAAAATCATCTGTAGACTAGTATGCTAGTAGATACATGTAATCATAACATTATTTTATAAACTCTTTCCTGAGATACCTTGGGTTGTTTGATTTTCTTGTGTTACTGGATGCATTATATTTGATTCACCTAAAACAATTGTAAAATATTTTGTATGTGCAGGACACTCAGTAACATGTAAAAAGTAGTATGTAAATATATGTCAAAGAAACAGCTCTTAAAAATTATGCACTTTTTTACTTTGTTACTTTTTTTTAACATTTGGCTCCTTGGGAAATGGAAGGGAAGAGCATGACAAACCTGAAATTAGAGCTATGAATTGACAAAAAACAGCAGGAAAGCATTTCAGGAATGTTAGAAGTTGGAATATAATACAAATGACACAAAGAGAAAGCCATAATTCATGTTGGCTATGTATTGTCTTATAAAGCAACTGGATATATTTTAGTCAGTTCACAGTATAATAAATATCTTTACTAATCTGTTTTGGAAGAGCAAATGTCTTTTAGGGTTTCAAGCTCCTCTATAAGTTTCTTGTTCTGAACTTCTAGCACTGCAACACGACTCTCCAGACATTTTATGTATTCCTTCTTCCGACGTCGACATTCTTTAGCAGCTTCCCTGCAAAAAGCAGAAGTAAAAAGTGCAAACAAAAAAGCCATTTGCATGCCATTAGAAAGCTCAGCAGAGTATGGAGACTATGACAGAATTCCAAATTTTTGAATATCTCCCAAATCAGTTTGAAAACACTAAGCAAAACTGGGTTCCACAAGGGCCTCAAGTGTCTGTTTCTCAAGTTCATATGGCAATCTGTAGAATTGCTTCCTCTCATGCCTTGATTAAAGTTCATAATAAACAAGGTCCAAATCAAAGACAGTTATTCTGCTTTATGACAATAAAGATCTTTGAGGGCCTTGAGTTCCTCAATGAGAGTCTTGTTTTGGTTTTCAAGCACAGCCACACGATTTTCAAGACATTTGACATATTCTTTCTTCTTCCTGCGACATTCTCTGGCAGCTTCCCTGGAACCAATACAAGGCAAATGACTACAGGAACAGCCACAATATGGCAAAGACTGGATAAATGAAATTACCTGCAATCCCTGCAGATCCACAATAACAACAACAACAACCACCAACTGTTGGATTGCACAAACAGAACAGCAGATAACAGCCATAAGCAATAACATGGTTAAAATACAATTCAACAATACAACTAGAACTTGAAACAAATTCAGCATCAACAAATACAAAGATGGAATTAACACACAGAGGAACTGAGAAAAGCAGTGAGCAAATGACAACATATTGACTTTAGCTGTACTAAACATTAAGACTGAAAGCAGCATTTCTTCTTCCAGTCACATTCCATTTTGTGTGTTTATCAGGAGTATTATCTTCTGCAATCAAAATCTTCAAACCAAACCTAAATAATTTACTTTCAGAAAACACAAGCGTAACACTACTCTCTTCAGATAAAAAGCTAGATGCCAAGCTTACAACCTGCCGTAATTTTTTTACCTTAATGTAGCAATCTAAAGTAAAATTTGAGTCAAAACAAATACAATTTATTAGGATTTTAGAACTGTCCACCTGAGCACATTTCAGCCACATGCAGCTGAGCTTTTTTCGTTGCTGGCAGATGGTAGTCTAAAGCTATTCTCATAGCTCTGCTCAGAATTCTGTTATGTTGAAGCTAACTAAACATTTTGGGTAAAATTTTCAAAAGCATGTCACTGAACAAGTATTCAGTTACAGAAGAATTTTAGAAGTACTGGGAGTCCACCCCTTTAACATCTTAGGACATGATAAATTGTCAAATTGTGAGAATGTAGCTTTCCAGGAAGTTATATGAGAGAGAACATAGATGCTAGTTTTAAAACTGAAGAGAGGAGAAACAAAAGGAGGCACAACAATGCAGCAATCATTGTAAGTAATTTAAAATAAAGGACAGGCATGAGAGCAAAGCAATACCATTAGTTCAATCATAAGGCAAATGACAATCCAATGTACTAGAGATCTGCACCGTAGACTATTTCTTCCATTAATCTAACTGCCATTGATAGTGGTGGCTATGCAATTAAAAAAAGAAAGAGTCCCCTAAGCATAGCAAGAAGAAGCACAGAGAAAGACTCTGCATTTACAGCATACAGGCAAGTCCCTGACAACTAATTAGAAAATACACAGCAACCTCACACAATATGCCTCACAGAATGACAGGGGGGACACTGCACAATAACTTATCCCAGTAGCCAGGTATTTAGGAAAGTCTATAAGTATCATTCCATCCTAGAATAAATCCTGTTCACAGTATCATTAATGGACAACTGTTAATGAGATCCTCAGATATCTTCCTAACGAATTCTTTGCTGGGATGTTTCAAGATGGACAAACCCGTACTGGGCATTTTACTGTCAGAGGGTGGGGAAGAGGGGGAAATCAGCAATAAATATACCTCCAGATTATCATAAAAATTATCAGAAAGGGACAACAGTAATACTGATTTCTGAATTAGGATCGAAAAATCCATGGTGATAAGGTCAACTCTAACTTTCCAGAGTTAACAGCCAACACAATGTCATAAGGATGTGGCATGACTGACAAAAAATTTCTTGCCTTCCCTTCGTCAACTGCAGGCAGTGCTCAAGACCTTAAGAAGAAAACTTCACTAGAAAGTTTTGGGGGGGTTTTTTTGCAACATTGACTACTAATTGTTATACAGTCTTACCTATTTTTCATAAGTCTCAGCTCTCTTTTGCGTGTTGCCTCTTCTGCCAGTTGCTGAGGGCTATGCAAAGTCCCTGGTGAGGCTGCCATTACCACTCCCTGAGGTAAGGTAGTAGCGGGAGTCCGAATCTGGTAAGCTGGCATGTCTCCAGTGGCAGCTGTGTAAGAGAATCATATTTTAAACTTTATGTCAAAAAAGAACTATGCAAAAGTCTTTCTGGAAATAACAGATTTCTGTTGATGAGTTATCCAGGACCGCTCCTACATAAAATATTTCACAGGCCTGTAATGTCACAACTACATTTGTTCTCTTACTGCTGTTTATTTACATGCTGTAAAATAAGTTATCTAAATTGCTCTAGCATGTGGCCCCACCAGCCAGTCAGACCGAAGCCTGTGAAAGCTTCCACACGGCTCTTTTCAGACAACATAAGGAAAGCTGTTTGAGAAACGCTGTCAGAGCATCCACGCTTATATCCTGTTTCCACAATGCCACAAAAAGACGGCCCTGCTGTTGCAGCCACTGAGGTTTATATGCTACCCCTGTTCCCTAACAGAGGCTTCAGGAGTCAGCTTTCTCCTCCTTCCCTCTGAAAGCAACAGTACAGCCTTACTGCTTCTCCTCCCCTTACAGCAGCAGTTTGGCAACCCTTGGAAAACCCGTGAGAGCTGCTGTTGCCAAAGGGAAAAGGAGCAGACAAGTACTCATGGTGAATAGGAGTATGTTCCTTGAGCAAGAAGACCACAAATAGGATGCAGCAGCATTAGCAGGCAAAAGGAGGTAGTGGCAGTCGCACAGGAAGGGGTGTAGCTACAGAGTAATCAGAGTGCAAAAGTTCAGATTCAGCTCCTGAGCCTACCCCTTTTGAGCGCTCCCCAAGCTAAACACAGATCTGAAATCTGACGTGTTATTTGGAACCAATACCTTTCTGATGGTCTTACTTCATTTCTTTATTTCGGAGGTACTTTGCTCCTACATGATGTACCCCAACTATAAAACACTGTGAGAGGCCTAAGTACTTGTGTCTTGCCTGACACAGGGGGGGAAAAAAAAAAAAAAGTGTCCCTTTTCAAATTATAAGCAAGTATTTACCTATTCCTTTCCATAAATAGTTTATATTATTACAAAACAAAACTTCCAATTTTGACATTAAAGCAATAGAATAGATGAAATTTCAGGGGCTGTTATATTATATTTAATATATACTTGAATTCTCTAAAGCAATTTCAAATAACGGAAAAACTTAACTCGGAAAAATAAAATGTAAGCAAAAACACTTTATGGAAGCTGAGCAGAGCAGAGCAGTAAAGAGACATCAGTCAACTACAGGGGGGAAAAAACAAAACCTAAACTTAATTTAAAAATTACTATTTTACTCATTAAATTAATTCAGGTGCTTCACTAACTACACACAAAAAACCAAGGATCAAGCTGTGTTTAGACTACAATTCCACAGCCATGTCCTGAAATCATTAGCAGCTTAAACACTGTGCACCTCCCTCCTCTTTCAGTCGTGTGGGTAAAAGCATTTGTGGAATTACAAGATGAACTGGACCAGTGAACTGACCTGAGTGACAGATAATCGCCTGGGGATGAAGGAGGGAGAGAGAAATCAGCCCAGGATAGCCCTGTGAGCACTAACAGGCAGCTGCCATGAACACTGGGTTCGTGCATCTACAAGAGAATTACTTAACCCTTTCTTCAAATTTTCCACATCTCTTAGCAGTCCCAGCTATGTAAATGGGACAAATACTTCAGCTCACTATTTATAAAAATGGAATTTTACAAATTCTTCAGGCTCACCTTTATGCTGGCCACATTACATACATTTTATAGACTCTGAGGTAAGAACTACCTTTTTCTCTCTCTCTCATCACTAGGTAAAAAAGAGATGTTATCTTAGTTTGCACTAGCTACAGTGAATTAGAAATCCAAGTGAACTATTTTACAGATCAAGTA